TTTTTTAAGAAAAAATTAAGTTGGCATGCTGAACAAATAACATTCTAGTCCAGTGGTTTTCAACATGGCTGGGTTAGCCCACTAGGGGACATTTGACAATGTTTGGAGACATTTTTGGTTTTTCTAGCCGGGCGGTGATGTATTATTGGCATCTAGTGAGTAGAGAACAGAGATGCTGCTGAACGCCCTCCAAAGCACAGGACAACAAGGGCTTGCTCGGCCCCAAACGCCAATTGTGCTGAGGTTGAGAAAGGCTGTTCTAGGCTTTGGCTTGCTGTGTGACCTTGGATGAGTCATGTAAGTCTTAAGGCCTGCAGCTGCCCATCTGTGAAACAGGGGGAAAACATTTGTCCAGTCTGTGTCACAACACTGGGGTGAAGATTTGCATGATGTGGGGAACATGCTTACATCTCAGAAGGTCAAAGCAGATCTAAAAAATTAAGATCTGGCAGCCACGGGGGGAAGGGAGGGCTTCACTGAGATGGATTAAGATACACTTTACTGTCTGTTCCTAAGACAATAGGAGTGTGCCCTTCCCCAATAACTTCATTTTCTAAATGGGGTCAAAACAGGAGCTTCTTCCAAAGCAGAGCAAACAGATGATGGCAAGCTGATACTTACCAAGCACTCACATTTGTTGCCTAATCTAAGCCTTGGAAAACCCGGTAGAAGGCTCCCTTTTTTCAGAGGAGGATGCTGGGGTTCAGATAGGCAAAATGACTTGCCCAAGATCACACAGCTTCTAAGTGGCAGAATAGGGCTTCAACCCTAGGTTGGTCTGATTCTAAACCAAGCTACTGGATACCATGGAGACAGCATTCTGCATCACCTCCTAGTACTTCAATAAGCTACTTGTTGTCAGGGAAGAGGGTGGAGTAAGTGAGCATACTTTCCTGATGGGCTTTCTTGCTCTTCCTGAGACCCTCACTTTTCTTGCTTTGGGGCAGAGCACAGTGCCTCATCAGTGCCTGCCTGGCACTGTGCAGACAGCTCTGCTCTGTTACTGCAGACTCCAGTTTTTGCCTGAACTGGAAAAGCAGAGGGGAAGGTGGACTTTAACTCTTAAAGACTTGTGTTCAAGTCCTTGCTTGACTTATCATCAAGATAGAGAGAAGCCAGCTCCTGAGGACCACTCCAGGGCCCTGATGGACTTGTCGTCCATCTTGACAACAAGTCAGCTGTTGTCACTTTGGAGTGTTGTGGCCTGGACAAGTCATTGATCTTCTGAACCTTAATTTCCTTGGTAACAGTCCATGTGCACAATTGTTATGTGGGTAAGAAAATTGTTGTGTGTAAAAGACCTTCGTAATCTCCCAAGGATCATGCAAATGTGAAGGTACAGAAGCCCATTGGACTGGATGTCAGAAGACCCAGGTTTCAGTCCCAACTCTACCTCCAACTCCCTATAACAGTTTGGGCTCTTATTTATCTATGGTAGTCACTCCAAAAACAACCATTTTGGAAGTTCCATAGTTTATCTTAAAGGTTAATGAAGGTTAATGTGAATTGGGCATTCTGCTACACGTATCTGTATTTGTTTTAATATAAAAATAAGGTTTGTCCTGTATGAGGTCACAGAACAAACACCAGTTTGGTACATGCCACGTGTTTGCTGTGTGACCTTGGGCAGGCCACACAGCCTGGGGTTGCGAATCTACAAAACAGGGAGAGGGACATAAGCCCAGTCTGTTTTGCCACACTGCTGTCAGGATTAACTTCACTGAAATGGGTTTTTACCAAGAGGTCTTTAATTAGGCTAGAAAGTGGACAAGTTGAGCAGCAGAGCTAGCTTCAGGAATGCTGGATTCTGGGCCCTGGAGTGGGCCCCAGGACCTGGCTTGTCTCCATCTTTTGGCTCTGTCTTCTGTTGTGAGTTCCACTCTGACTCTGTTAAGTGGCCTGTGGCAGCTGCAGGTTCTCCCTTCCTTGGGGACAAGATCACTGCAGAATCTGTGGTCCAGGATTTCTCAGCTGCAGAACGGCTGGCATTCTGGGCGTGGTGATTCTTTGTTATGAGGACTGTCCCCTGCCTTGTAGGATGTTCAGCATCCCCCCGGCCCCCACCTACTCGGTCCCAGTATCCTCACTCCCAACAGGTGTGATAACCACACATGTCTCCATGCATTGCCAAAGGTACCCTGGGGAACAAAGTCACTCTTTCTCCTCCTTTCCCTCTCATTTTGCTGTTTGTAGCCTCACTTCCCTGCACCCTCAAACCCAGCATGCATGAGAACCTCTGGAAGCTCCCGGCATAAATCCTGCAACCTCTCTGATTGGACCTGCCTCAGGTCACATGCCCATCCCTGAACCAATTGTTGTATTGGGGGAGGGGATGTAATGCACTGATTGGCCAGTTTTGGAGCGCTTGTTCCACCCTGGGCAGTGAAGCTCCAGCCGCGCCACCAGACCAGGGGTGCTCTGGGCCAACACCTAGGCAGAAATTCAGGCTTCTGTGCTGGGTAGGAGGAAATGGAGGCTGGGAAAGCAGAGAGCAAGTAGGCATTCCAGCCCACCACCCTTCCTAGAGCTTGGTTCATCATTTGTATATTGTTTGACAAGGCAGTCTGTCAAATTCTAAACTGGGCCTTGAGGTCTCAGTGGAGCAGGGAGAGCCAAATGCGAAATTCTCATGGGGCTTGTGACTCGTTCAGAACAATTCTTCTGAGGACCCATGTAGCTCAGTGGCCAGGGGCTTGGGCTGAGAGCCTGTTGACTTTGTGATTGACTCTGGTTTGCATCCTGCTCCTGAGTGTGGTCTAGACTAGCAGCTGCAGCAAAATTTAGGTTAGAAATACAGAATTTCATACCTGTAATCCCAGCACTCTGGGAGGATGAGGCAGGTGGATTGCCTGAGCTAGAGCAGACCTCGTCTGTAAAAATAGTTGGGTGCTGTGGCGGGCGCTTGTAGTCACAGCTACTCGGGAGGCTGAGACAAAAGAATCTCTTGAGCCCAAGAGTTTGAGGTTGCTATGAGCTGTGACGCCACGGCACTGTACCCAGGGTGACAGCTTGAGACTGTCTCAAAAAACAACAACAACAACAACAACAAACAATTTGAGAAGCCCTGAGCCAGGGCAAGTTTCACCTCTCTATTCCTCCCTTTCTTCACCTATCACTTAGAAACAATATCTAAACTGTTTATCTCTTAGTGTTGTTAGAACTAAATAATGGTTTCTTCACATAAAGCTCTCAGAATAGTAAATTGTGCAGTGAAGGTTCACTCTTTGACCTGTAACCCTTGGATAGCAGAATAGAACAGAATTCTTCAAACTTTTCCATCAAACAATCCCAGTAGATCAGGGGTTGGCAAACGTTTTATGTAAGGGACCAGACAGTAAATATTTTAGACTTTTGGGCCATATGGTCTCTGTCACAATTAGTCAGTTCTGCCGTTGTAGTGTAAAAGCAGCCATCTGGGCATAGCTGTGTTCCAATAAAACTTTATTTACAAAACAGATTTGGTTTGCAGGCTCTGGTTTGCCGCAAAGTGATAATCGGGGGTCTAGCACATGGCAGCCACAACAACACAATGTCTCAGAAGCTTCGTTCTTCATCTGGAATGCTTAATTTGAATTTTGTGCCTTAGTAATATAGCTGGGTTTATTTTAATATGAAGTTCTTTTCTTCCCTCCTAATCTTTGCAGAAAACAGATGCTCTGGGAAGACATTCTGTGTTTATTCTCTGCCTTCACACAGCACCTCCTCCCCACCTGGCCCACTGCTGTGAGGACCTTTGTAGACATGTGTCTCAACATGACAGGACTGAGCTTCTGGGAACTGGACCACAGGACATGCTGCAGGTTTGAGGCCAGTAAGGAATGAAACTTCCTCTCTTGAGAAATGAAACAGAGAGGGATGATTTGATATTAGGAGTCCAGGGAGCGAGGTAATTAGTAGCAATGACTCCTTGCAAGCCTCTGTTATTTTATTGGCTCCCAGTAAGGAGACAGAGCAGGTGTCCATTTCACAGATGAGGAAAATTGAGGCTAAGAGCGGTCAAGCCCTTGATACTGCCTGTCATGGCAGAGTTCATAGCTTCAGCCTAGTGAATGCCTTACCTCGGTGCTACCATAGTTTAGGCTACTAATATGAATCAGAGAATGTGGATGTGGTGGGCTGCTAAGATGGCTGTGATTCTTCCCACTTCTTGTGTCCATGACCTTTGCCATGTGACTTTCCAGTGCCCTCCCAGAGATGTGTGGAGCCAAGCTGCTCCAGCTTAACCCATTCTAGGTCAGCCAACACCCAGCTGACCCCTAGACATAAGAATGAGTCCAGCCCAAATCAGCAGGGCTACCTGACTCACCTCCAACTGACCCCCGGTGTGTAAGCAGTGACTATGCATCACTAGGTGCCACTAAGGGCTTGGGATCCCTTGTTATGCGGCACTATTGTGCCTGTACTGAGGATGGACACGATGGCCTTTTGTGCATGTCTGGGAGCAGTAACTGTCCTCTCTGGGCCCTGTCACTTTGGGCTTATTGCTGGCTTCACTGAGGCTTGTCAGCATGCCCACAGGCCACCCCTCGTTGGTCACTAGGGGACGTTGGTGTACAAGGGCATCTTTAGACTTTAGGACTGATGGCAGAATAACATGGTTGTTAGTTGCTTAGGCTCCAGGTTTAAATCCTGGTCCCTCATTACTAGCTATTTGATCTGGGGTGAGGTTTGAAACATCTCTGAGTCTTAGTTTCATTATCCATAAAGGGGAATAATAATCAGAGTTGTGATGAGAAATAAAAGAGATCGTATATGAGAAGCCCTTGGGCACGGTGCCTGCCATAGATTAGCAAGTGCTCAATGCACATGGGCCGCACAATTGCTATCAGGCACCCATGACATGCTGGTGAATCACTGGCCCGTGGGGCTTGCAGCACCCCTGGTCAGGATCCCCACCCACAGCAGGCAGAAGGTGGAGGTGGGAGGCTCAGTGTCAATGTTCCCAGTTTCCCTTCCTCCCAGCCACTGGTTTCTGAGCTCTTGGACAAAGATCACAAATCCTTTGTGGGATGTCAGGGAATCCTGTCTGCTCCCCCCCCCCCAGGTACTTTGCATTTTGCCTTCAAACTAGGAGGAAGGATCATGCATTGGGTGCCTCACAGCTTCCCTGCTTTCCCTCTTGCCTGCTCTAAATCACCCTCCCCGCAAATGTAACAAATAATCATAAATACAGTGGCTAAAAACACACATTTATTTCACACTTCTGGAGCTCTGAAGTCCACGTTTTACCTCATTGGGCTAAAGTCAAGGTGTGGGCAGGGCTGGAGCTCCAGAGAAGAATCCGTTTCTTTGCCTTTTTCAGTGTCTAGGGGCTGCCTGCCCTCCTGGGCGGGGTGTGAAGCTTCCCAGCCAGCAGGCAGCATCTTCAAATCCCTCTCTGGATCTGAGTCCCTTACTTTCATCCTCCTGTCTCCTGACCCTGGTCCTCCTGTGTCTCCCTTTTAAGGTCCTCAAGGACCCTTGTTAGTTACACAGGGCCCTCCCAGACCATCTGAGATGCTCATTCTGGGTCTTTAATTTAATCCCATCTGAAAATTCTTTTTTTGCCCTTTAAGGTGACAGAGTCACAGGTTCTGGGGAATTAGGGTATAGAGATCTTCTGGGGAGGCCTTATTCTGTCTACCATAGGCAGGCACTGATTCTTGGGCCCAGCAGTGGATCTTGTCCTGAAATCTGAGAATTTTACGATCTTGTTGAACAAATAAAACTGTGGCTTATGTTTTACCACGTTGCTAGAAAATAGTGGTTTTGATGATTTAATCACATTCCTGAAAGGTGATTAAAATTGGGGGCTGGAGGCTGCTGCTCCACACTGCCCTTAAGCCTCTTATAATTACTGAATACCTCCCTTTCCCCCTTTTGATTACTGCCTCAGTCAGGGCCACGTCATCCCAGCTGCAGTGGCCTCCTCACTGGCATCCCTGCCTCCATTCTCGCCTGCTCCAAATCACTGTCCCCACAGCAGTCAGGCGGACACTTTATAGTGTGTGCCTTGACCGCAGTGGTAATTTCTCTATCTAAAACTCCTTCCTGGATCCTCATTTCCATCAGAATAAAGTCCCAACAGGCCCTACCATGGCGCCCAGCCTTCCGTGAAGGGCCTTTTTTTTTTTTTTTTTTTTTGAGACAGAGCCTCAAGCTGTCCCCCTGGGCAGAGTGTCGTGGCATCACAGCTCACAGCAACCTCCAACTCCTGGGCTCAAGCGAGTCTCCTGCCTCCGCCTCCCAAGTAGCTGGGACCACAGGCGCCCACCACAACGCCCGGCTATTTTTTTTTTGGTTGCAGCCGTCATTGTTGTTTGGCGGGTCCGGGCTGGGGATTCGAACCCGCCACCTTAGGTGTACGTAGCTGGCGCCTTAGCCGGTTGAGCTATAGGCGCCGAGCCCGTGAAGGGCCTTTGCTTACTCTCCAACCTTGTCACGCACCTCTCCCTGCTAGGGTGACCAGCGTGTGTTCTGATTTTGGTTTGCCCAGGATTGTTCTGCTTTTAGCACCAAAATACCTCCTATACCCTCACCATGCCCATCATGGGGTAAGCATGTGATCAGGGCTCACTACTCACTTCTTCTTCTTCCTTTTTTTTTTTTTTAAGAGACAGAGTCTCACTTTATCACTTTTGGTAGAGTGCCATGGCATCACAGCTCACAGCAGCCTCCAGCTCTTGGGCTTAGGTCATTCTCTTGCCTCAGCCTCCTAAGTAGCTGGGACTACAGGCACCCACCACAATGCCCAGCTATTTTTTGTTGTAGTTTGGCCGGGGCTGGGTTCAAACCTGCCACCCTCAGTATATGGGGCCAGTGCCCTACTCACTGAGCCCCAGGCACTGCCCTCACTACTTACTTCTTAAAGCAGAGAGCCCAGGCCACCTGCAGCCACCGGGCCCATGCTGGGCTGGAGACCTGCTAGGCTGCTCCTTCCTCAGGGAGACTGTGGTTGCCCTTGAGCTTCTGGTGTCTTCCTGTGGCCAAGCCTTGCTGGGCTAGGGGAGGCTGTTCTTAGGGGTCCCCATCCCCCTGCAGCTGGGGGCTTGAAGACCCACACAACCCCTCTGTGGAGGACCAGAGAGCGATATGATTAGGGTCTCATGACTTCCTGGGAGCCTCCCCCCAAGACCTGGCCAGCCTGCCTAGTGGAGCTGTGTCTTTAGATCCCTGGGGGAAAGAGGCAGTTCCCAGAGAGGAACCCACAGGGGAGGCGCAAATCAAGCATCCAAGGGCTTGGTGGGTAGGGGGGAAGGAGGTTTATTGCTGTTGTTGGGATTTGCTGCCATGGCTTCCCAGGACAGATCACAGTTGCATTTTCTGTAGGAACAGAGAACAGTGTGAGGGACCTGGGGTGTACCAACTTCTGGGGAGTACAGGCTCTGCGGGAGGGTAGGTCTGAGGGGCACAGCCCGCAGCCTTGACAAGCCAGCCTGGCCTCTGTCCAAGGGGTCTCAGAACACAAGTGGTCCCCAGTGGAAAGCCACCAGCCCAGGTATCCCTCTGTGTCTCCACCCTCAAGAGGACAAATGGCCATCCACACCACACCCTCTCTTTTGCTGGGCGCCGCTCTCAGGAGGCCACGTTTCAGTTTTGGGGTGGGAACATAAGTATTTGCTGAAGGCAGTGGATGAATGGATGGAGGGGTTTGTGGCTGTTTCTTTCACTGCACTCAAGTCCAGGCACCCAGTGAATTATGAGGAAGGGAGCGGATCAGTGAGTGAGCAAGTGAATGAGCAAAAGGATGGATGAATGAATGAATGAAGGAGTAGACATGGGCAGGTGAGGGGCTGACAGGTGCAGGGAGGGGCGTGGAGACAGCACCCACCTCGTTGACCCAGTACCCACCTCGTTGATCCAGTCAATGTAGGTGGACACCCGGGTGAAGACTGTGGGCTTCTTCTGGGTGTTGCAGCCCAGCCCAGAGCCAAAGCTGACGATGCCACGTACCTCCCAGGATCCGTTCTCAGCCTGGCAGTTCAGCGGGCCACCAGAGTCCCCCTGCACCAGACCAGGGGGGCATCAGCAGGCAGGCTGCCCCAGAGGCAGCCTTGGGAAGTAGGGGTAGGCTGGGGGTGGGGTGGGGTGGGGTGCAGGAGGTGGGCCAGCTTCTCAGCCCTGTGAGTTCCTGTTTTGGCCTCATTCTGCCACTGGTGAAAGAGGCAGGGAAAATATGGTTCGGGGCTGCCTTGGCCTCATCGTGGGAGGTCCTGGGCACAGTTGGACTGGTTTCTGGTTTGCTGTGTGATCATGGTGCTAACCCACTGCGTGCCTCAGTTTCCCTAGATGTTCAGGGCACCGTGTCTAAGACTCTGTGAGCTGTCCAGATAAGTGAGGATGCTGTGAGCTGTTTTGGAGGCCTGGGAAAGTGAGGACGGCAGATGGGAGTGGCGAGAGGGTTTGAAAACAGGATAGTCCTTGTTTCATAATTCAGTGGCAGACTCCTGAAGTCCCCTGTCTCTCTAGACTGGTGGAGCTGATGGCGGGAAGTCACAGGTGTAGAGACTTCAGTGAAGCCTCTTCTGTGTCCCTTAGACTTGCTCAGTGCTCACAGCAACCCCGTGAAGTGGTTACTGTAGCTCCATTTTATCGATGGGAAAACAGGTTCAGAGAGGTTCAGCGTCCTTCCTAAGATTACAGAGCTAATCCGTAGTAAGTGGTGGGAGCTGGACTCAAACTCAGATACTCACGTGCAGCTCTCATGCTCTCACGACAGTGCAAGGGAGAGGGGTGGGTTGGGGTGACGGGTTCCCCCTAAGCCTGCTAGGCCCAGCTAGGCGTCAGTATCCTCTCTGGGAAAGGGTTTGCCCAGTCACATGCCCCTTTGCCCCTGTCCACTCTGCCACCTGGAGTAGGGACAGCATGGAGGCCACTCACATTGCAGGCTGAGATGACGCCATCACCCCCGGCGCACACCATGTTCTGGGTCACCCTGAAGCTCCACCAATCTGGCTTGCTGCACGTGGCGTGATCCACCACTGGCTGCAGGCCCTGCTGCAGCTCGTCCGCAATGGGGCCGTTGGCTGGAGAGAGAGCAGGTGGTGACCAGGGAGGTCCCACCCCACCCCAGCAGGGAGCAGAAGGGTGGGACAGGAAGCAGGGGAGCTGTGAGAACCACACACATGCCCTCCAGGCCTCTGGGTGGGGAAGGGGGACCCTTAAGGAATAACTGTTGAGATGTCTTTACCTTGGATTGGGGGGTGGGGTTGTCATTCTTTTCCTATAGGTCTCTGCCTTTAGTGTCACACATTAAAAGGGCTTTCTCCCCCAAGATTTTCTAAATATTGAGCTGCATTTTCCTCTAAGTCTCCTGTAGTTTCATTTATTGGCATTTAACTTTTAATTGAGCATGATATATTATGGGGTCTAACCCCCAGCCCCAAGTAGGTTTGTGTTAGCTTGTTTATACCGCATTTACTCTATGCCAAGCCCTATTCTATGCACTTGACATTTTTTTTTTTTTTGAGACAGAGTCTCACTTCGTCACCCTTGGTAGAATGCAATGGCGTAGCAGCTCACAGCAACCTCAAACTCTTGGGCTCAAGCGATTCTCTTGCCTCAGCCTCCCAAGTAGCTGGGACTATAGGCGCCCACTACAAGGCCCAGCTTTTTTTAGAAATGAAGTCTTGCTCTGGCTCAGGCTGGCCTCAAACCTGGAGCTCAGGCAGCCTACCTTTCTTGGCCTCCCAGAGTTTGAGGATTACAGGCGTGAGCCATCACTCCGAGCCCTAATTTTCTTTCTTTCTTTTTTTTTTTTGAGACTGATTCTGACGCTGTTGCTTAGGCTAAATTGTGGTGGCATGATGATAGCTCACTGCAATCTTACATACCTGCCTTAGCCTCCCAAACTCCTGGGATTACAAGTGTGAGTCACTGTGCCGGGCCAGACAGATTCTAATCCATTTAATCCTTGCAACAAAACCCCTCATATGTGCTCGTTAGAGCGTCTGCCTCAGGGTATGTGCTTAATAAATATTGGCTGTTAGTATAAAGTTTACAAAGATATGAAAGTGTTTAGGTAAAAAGGAAAAGTAGTAGGCAAATACAGGTGGTAGGCTGCTTCCTTCAGGAAGGCTCTTGGGATTTTCTAGGGGCTGTACTCACTCCAGAGGCGGCCCCAGCCTGTGACATAGCAGGGGAAGTCCTGGGGCAGCAGGGAGCCCTCTTCTGGCAGGCAGGCCACCTGGATGGTGTCACTCAGCTCCACGTGTTCCGCCAGCTTGATGAGAGCAATGTCATTGCTGGAATCCAAAGCAGAGAGTGAGAGTGGGCAGAAGGGCCCTGACCCCACAAGCCCACACTAAAGAGGCTCAGGCTTGGAATTGGGAGTCAGGCCAAAGGTGCCCAGGGGCCCTCCATAGACATCCTGGCCACTGGCTCCTTATTGGCCTTTGGGGATGTCAGAGGACAAGTGACTTGCTGACTAACCTGCCCTGTTTGACTTAGCTTTTTTCTCTGTGTGTGTGTGTGTCACTACATCGTGAAGGGGTTAAAGGGAGACCGGGCCAGAAGCCTTCAGAATCTGCCAGTTATGCAGGGTTGGAAATTCAGCTATAGCTTCATGGGAAATAGCAGTGTTAAATGAGAGGCTCTTACAGATGCCACTTTAAATACTTTCATGGCAACCTTGGAGAGGGCAGCACTGGGCTGTGTGACCTGGGACATATGCCTTAACCTCTCTGAGTCTTGGTTCTTTGTCCAGGGCTGTTGTGAGGATTAAATAAGAAATGGCATATAAAGCGCCTTTTGCAATGCGTGCATACAGTAGGCAGTCAGTAAAGGTGAGTCCTGGTCCAGCCTCTGGAAAAACACTGTGGGGAATTCAAGGTTCTTACTCCAGAGGCCCTTGCCCTGTGAGGGGAAGCAAGGGGTGTCCTCTCCACATAGCATTTGCCATTTTGTGTAAGACAGTCATCCACCACTGTCCAGGGTGAGGATGAGGAGTCAGGTACAGAGAGGGGACAGGCTCTATAGCTCTGTCTTGGGGACCCCTCCTTCTGCGCTGTTCTCAGGGGCCGTGAGATGGTCAGCTGGGCACTCACCGCAAAAGGAGGGAGTTCCACTTCTCATGGACATGGATGGTGTCCACTGCCACAAACAGGGAGCCTTCCTCGTCTGGCACCTCCAGGTTGTTCTTCCCCAGGGCCACACGGTAGGTCCGGGAATTGCTGAGTAGAGCAAGGGAACCAGGTCAGGGTGGCCTCCTTCTCCCCCCAGCTAGTGGGGTAGGGGTAGATAGAGAAGAAACTGGGGCTTTAGTGACTGAGCCCTGTGGCCACCTTGGGACTCAATGGGGGGAAGTGGGTGTCTGTCCCCACTGTCCCTTCCCAGAATGAAAGGAAAGGACCCAGGGCTAGGAGTTAAGGGACTTGGGTTCATGCTGTGGTCTTGCCACTGCTAGCCGGGAAGCCTGTGCCTCAGTTCCCCTCTCTGTAAAGTGGAGTTAATATGGAACTTACCTCCCAGGGCTGCTGTGAGAATACAGGAATCCAAGCTCTCACTGCCTCATGCCCACATTACTGTGACAGCCTCCTCACTGCCTCCCTGCTTCTACTCTGGCCTCCCTCCCCTCTATTCTGAAGCCAGTAGTGTGTCCCAGAGGTCGCCATAAATAGGAAAAATTAATAAACTCATATATTTTCAATGTTTATGTATCAACATGTAGGGAAATATTTTGTAAGATTTTCTGATGCATATTTTGTAAATAAAGGTACGTTTAGCTACAATTTCCCATTTCTTTGTGTATGGTAACTACCTTTAGGACACTCTGTATAAGTCAGCCTATGACCTCTTTTGCTCAGAAACCCTTCCAATAGCTCTCTCTCTCTCAGGGTCAAAGCCAAGCTCTTTCACTGCCCTGTGTTACTGGGCACCTGTCCCCTTTCTAACCACTTCCTCCGGCTCTTCCCTGGCACACCCTGCTCCTGTCACACCAGCTTCCTTGTTATTTTTCAACTGGACCAAGCAGGGCTTTCCTCCAGGCCTCCGCACTGGCTGTTCCCTCCACCTAGAACACCCTTCCCTCAGATCTGTGGCTTCCTCCCTCACTCCTTTCAGGTCTTTGCTCAAGTATCCCCTTCCAGAGAGGTCCCTCTGGCCAGGCCATTTAGCATAGAACTCTCTTGCTCTTTTTATCCCCTCTTCTGACTTTTTTTTTTTTTTTTTTGAGACAAGAGTCTCACTTTGTTGTCCTTGGTAGAGTACAGTGGCGTCACAGCTCACAGCAACCTCAAACTCTTGGGCTCAAGCGATTCTCTTGCCTCAGCCTCCGAGTAGCTGGGACTACAGGCACCTGCCACAGTGCCTGGCTATTTTTAGAGACGGGATCTGGTCTTGCACTGGTTCAGGATGGTCTTGAACTTGTGAGCTCAAGCAATCTACCCACCTTGGCTGCCCAGAGTGCTAGGATTAATGATCTTGTTTTTCTTCACTACCACTCAATGTATTATATAGTTACTTGTTTAACTGTGTGTTGCCTTCACTGGAATGTGAGCTCCCCGAGGGCACAGACCGTTCACTGCTGTGTTCCCTGGCACGTACTAGAGAAATACTTGTTGCCTGAAGAAATGAACTGAACCGAGTTAGTGGATGCCAGCAGTGTGTTTAGCCCAGTGCCTGAGTGTATCGTAGGTGCTCAGCGGAGGCAGCTGATCGGACTCCTGCCCCAGGTGACTGCTGGGGCTGCGGGACATTGTCCACACTCACCTAATGCAGTGGGCAGCGGTGAGGACAAAGTTGCTGGCGATCAAGGTGCCGCCACATGTGTGCCTCCATGTGTCATCCTTGAGGTACTGGAGGGAGATCTGCAGGAGGGTGAGGAAGAGCCGTGTGTCAATGCATAGGTCCCCAGGTCCCCTGACCCCCCACTTTCCTTCCTGCTACCCCAGCAGAGTGCTTACCTGCCAGGGCCAGCTGTGGGGAACGGCATTCTCTCCTCCTACCACCCGGGCCGATAGGTTGGGCAGGAAGCTGGGAACGCCACAGCTGGAGGCTGGGGGAGACAGGACAGGAGGGATGGCAGTGAATGGGGCTGGCTTCCCCACTGGGGAAGGGGCTGGTGGGGTGGGCAGGTAAAAAGAGCATGGACTTTGGGGCTGGGCAGACTTGAGTTCTTATTTTACTATGTGACTTTGGGAAGCTCTCTGGGCCTCAGTTTCTCTTTCTGTGAAATGGGAAGACTAGCACTACCCTGGTGAGTTTGCCCTGAGGACTAAATTACACAGCTTATATAATGAGTTTAGCAAAAGACCCAATACAGAGATGATGCTTAGTATATTGAGAGAACTAAAAAGATGGCTGGCAGGAATGTGAATGCCGGGATATACTTGTATTCTTGTTCTTCTGGTCCTTTTCAGGCCACTGGATAACAGCAGGGTGTGTGTGTATGTGCGTGTGCGTGTGTGGGAGCCTTAAACCCACAGAGTTTCAGACTGTCGTAGCCAAGAAGCCGTGTGGAGTGGTCAGGATACTGAGCCTCACTGAGCCTCAATGTTCTCACCTATAAAATGAGGATATTAATGACCCTACCTCTCAAGGTTGTTTCGAGGATCAAATTAAATCATGCAGATAAAGGGGTTCGCACAGTGCCTGGTACATCATAAACACACAGTAAACAGCAGTTGCTATTGTTACTGTTGTTGTTAGCTGGAAGGACTCTTAATCAAGTGCTCTCACTTGCCAAAAATGCCAAGGAGATTTAGAGAGGCAAAGTGACTTGTTCAGGTCCTGCAGAGAGTGAGCGACTGATATTTAAGCCCAGTCCCTTCTGAATATGAGAGAACGTCGCCAAAACGAGGGAGGAGCTGAGAATCCCCAAGCGGGAGATGCTGCTGGGAAAGGCAGGCCTGTTGGTCCCGGGAGTGAATGCAGAGGGGAGTCTGCTGCGTCCCCACCCTTGCTCGGTGCTTTCCGCACCCCATTGCTAATCCTCTCCTGACCTGGCAGGTTAGATCATCACTCCTATTTTGCAGATGTGGAAGCAGAATTACCAAGCAGGAAGAGGCTTGTCTGACACACAGCTGGTCAGTAGCCCCTGAACCCACAGTGGACCACAAAGAGCCTTTCCTGGAAAGAGAAGGGCCCCCAGTCCTGTCTTTGTCCCCAGAGGCCACCCCATAGCTTACCACAGGCCAGGAGCGCAGCGAGGACGGTGATGCCCAACATGGTGTGGGTGCTCAGGACCGACTGGCCGTCAGGGAGGCAGGGGGACTCTTATAGGCAGGAGGGGGGAGAACCCCTGGTCAAGGCTAAGCCTGTACCTGGAGAGAAACCTGTTCTGATAAGGTTTTTTCCCTGACCTTGAGAGGTTGCTGTTTAATTTGGATAAGAGATGGGCTTTGCTCAGAAGCATGGATTTTCCAAATATCCTGAGACAGATAAATTCTGAGGTGAGAACACCCCCTCCCTGCTTTGCTTATAATGTTCTCTCATTGTCTTTCCCTACTTTAGCCTTTTTAGTTATTTATTGCTATTTATTGAGCATCTATTATGTGCTGGGCATTGTGATCAATAGGTCTTCCATCACCTTACCCAATTCTTCCAACAACACAATGCTATTATCTTCTCTCTCTTTTTTTGGGTCTTCTTTTCTTTCTTTATTCCTTTTTTTTTTTTTTTTTTTTGAGACAAAGTCTCACTCTTGCCCAGGCTAGAGTGCCGTGGCATCAGCCTAGTTCACAGCAACCTCAAACTCCTGGGTTTAAGCGATTCTCCTGCCTTAGCCTCCTGAGTAGCTGAGACTACAGGCACCCACACAACACCTGGCTAATTTTTCTACTTTTAATAGAGACAGGAGTCTCACTCTTGCTCAGGATGGTCTTGAACTCCTGAGCTCAGGTGATCCACCCACGTTGGCCTCCCAGAGTGCTAGGATTACAGGTGTGAGCCACCATGCCCGGCCTTATTATTTTCTCTTTAAAGATGGTTAGTGGTAGAGACCCAGAGGGTAAGTGACCATCCAGGGTCACACAATAGAGGCAGGCTTTGAAGCAGGTGCTTCTAACACCAGTCTGGGGCTTCTGAGAGTCGAGAGGTGCTGCTTCCCTCTCTGTTGCTGGGCTGCTTCCTGACCTTGCCCTTCCCCTTCATTCACCTGGCATTGCTCTGCTTTCCTGTCCCTGCTCCCAGGGTTGTGGGTGGGCCCAGAGGCTCAGAAGTAGGTGCTCGGTTGACCAAATTTCTTCCTGGATCTAGCTTAGTTGTTGGCCCCTCAGTTTCCCAGTCTCTATAATGGGTGGAAAGTATCAGATGGACGCTCAGGTTCTTTTCAGTGCTGAGGTTCTGTGACTTGAATGTCAAGTTCAGTGGCACATCTGAATTTGTGGCACGTGGGGTGGGTCCAAAGCACTGAATAACCAAAGGTCTAGCCAGAGCCGTCAGCATTTTGAGATCAGACCATCCCTTGGAGGATTTGATTTAATCCATTATGTAGGGGTGAGGGAGGATTCTTTTTTTTTTTTTTTTGCGGTTTTTTTGCTGGGGTTGGGTTTGAACATGCCGCCTCTGGCATATGGGGCCGGTGCCTTATTCCTTTGAGCCACAGGCACCACCCTGATTCTTTTTTTTTTTTAACCCACTGAGCCACAGGCGCTGCCCATGAAGGAGGATTCTAACTTGCATAGTTTCATGTAGCTTAACTTCTTTTTTAAAAACAAGCATACATTATTTTGGTAATATAAAAATCATCAAGTTTAATTTAAAAAAAAAGGATGCAGGCCAAGCATGGTGGCTCACGCCTCTAATCCCAGCATTTTGGGGGGCTGAATTGGGAGAATTATTTGAGGCCAGGAGTTCAAGACCAGGCTGGCTGACATAGTGAGGCCCTGTCTCTACAAAAAAAAGAAAATTAAAAATTAGTTGGGTATGGGTGCACATCTGTGGTCCTAGCTACTTGGAAGACTGAGGTGGGAGGATTGCTTGAACCGAGGAATTTGAGGTTGGAGTGAGCTATCATGGCACCATTGCACTCCAGGCTGGGTGACAGAGTATGTCTTTGTCTTTAAAAGAAGTCAATAAATAAACATAAAAAGATACAGAGAAGGGGGCTCGGTGCCTGTGGCTCAAGTGGCTAAGACGCCAGCCACATAAATCTAAGGTGGCAGGTTTGAATCCAGCCCAGGCCTGCCAAACAACAATGATGGCTGCAACCAAAAAAAATAGCTGGGCGTTGTGGTGGGCGTCTGTGGTCCCAGCTACTTGGGAGGCTGAGGCAGGAGACTCGCTTGAGCCCAGGAGTTGGAGGTTGCTGTGAGCTGTGA